ACACTCTCAAGAGAGTGAGAAGCCCGGCCACATGGGAGAAAATATTGGCAAGACATCTGATAAAGGACTATTATCCAATATAAACAAAGAACTCTTAAAATTCCACAATAAGAAAGCAAACAACCTGATAAAAAAGTGGGCCAATGACTTTAACAAACATCTTAGGAAAGAAAATTCACAGGTGGCAAGTAAGCATATGAAAAGATGTTCCACATAATATGTCATCAGGTAAATGCAAATTAAAACAAGATAGTACAATACACCTATGAGAATGGCCAAAATCCCAAACACTGACAATACCAATTGTAGATGGAAAAGTGCAGCAATAGGAACTCCTATTCATTGTTGGTTAGAACACAAAATGGTAAAACCACTTTGGAAGACAAATAGCAGTTTCTTGTAAAACTAAACATACCCTTCCCATCAGATCCAGCAATTGTGCTCCTTGGTATTTACCCACATGAACTAAAAACATGCCCACACCAAAACCTGCACACAGATTTTGATAGCAGCTCTAGGCATAATTTCCAAAACTTGGAAGCAAACAAAATATGTTTCTGTAGGTAAATGGATAAAGTGTGGTATGTCCAGACAATGGAATATTATTCAGCACTAAAAAGAAATGAGCTATCGAGCCATGAAAAGAAATGGTGGAAACTCAAATGTATATTACTAAGTATAAGAAGCCAATCTGAAAAGGCTGCATATGATTCCAACTATTGGGTGTCGGAAAAGTCATGATGCATTTTTGCAATGAAAGACATAGAAAAAAATATGTCATGACTTTTCCAACAGCCCAATATATGACATTTAGAAAAGGCGAAACAATGGAGACAGTTAAGAGGTCAGTGGTTGCCAGTGGTTGGGGTGAAAGAGGGGTGAATATGCAGAGCACAGAAGATTTTAGGGCAGTGAAACTATTTTGTATGATGCTATAATAGTGGGTACATGTTATTATACTTTGTCCAAACCTATAGAATGTACAACACTAAGATGTAAACTATCTAATGTAAACTATGGACTTTGGGTGATAATGGTCTATGAGTGTAGGTACAGCAATTGTAACAAATGTGTCATTTGGGGGATGTTCATGGTAGGGGAGGCTATACATGTGTAGGGGCAGGGGGCTCTGGAAAATCCTTGTACCTTTCTCTCAGTTTTGCTGTGAACCTAAAACTGCTCGAAATATAAAAATGTTCTATGTCTCGATATGGTATTGGTTACACAGGTGTGTATATTGGCCAAAGCTCCACTTTAAATGAGTACCTTTTCTTGTATGTAACTTTATTATACCTTAATCAAATTGATTCTAATAGAAATGAAATATTACACTGGCATGCTATCTACAGAACAATTTTAAGGATATCATAAGAGGCTGCATGAGAAGGATAGTACAGTAGGTAAGAGGTAAAGGTCATTTGGGCTTTGCCTGTGGAAATAGAGTATATTTAGAGGTGAAACGAAAAAGACTTGGTGACTGGTTGAAGGTGAGTGACAGAAGTGTCAAGGACAACTTCCAGGCGTCTCATCTGAGCACTCCTGTAGAGAATGGTGGGTAGGCTGGGGAGCTAGAGAGGAGAGGCAGATTTGGCTGGAAAATCATAGCTTTGGTGGAGTCGTCATCCTCCATGGAGATGTTGATCCCATCATTCTAAATGCAAGAGTGCCTTTTGTCTCGGGAAAACTGAGGCAAGGGATTTATTCACAATATAAGACATTGGTAGAGCCAGACCCACAGAAGAGTTCCAGACTCCCATTTGGCTAGGCAGCCCCGTTAGAGCCAGGCAATCTCCCTCCGCCATGTCTTATGTCATCCCGTGTGGATGAATAGGTGGTTGACCTTTCTGAGTCACTCGGCAAATTCCAATAGCATCCTCATCTGAGACTCTGGTCTCCACTGGGCAAGCTCTGAAGACCAAGCTTCAGTTGGATTGGAGGAAAGGGTAGTAAAATTCTAACACTTAGAAAGCCAGGAAAAACGATGCCCAGATACCTACGTGAAGAAACAAAAAGCATATGTCGAGCCTCTAGCAAAATTCATTTCTACAAATAACACCATTGCCTTGGGGAACAGAAGAGACATTTGACTGGGCAGCAGCTGTGCAAAGGGTGCTATTTAAAGACTCAGCTTTTGCAGCCCAAGGACTCTGGGCTTAAGATTTGATTGGAAGGCAGAGAGAAGACAGCAAAGGCTGAGAAAAGAACCAGATTTTGGGGGAAAAAAAAACATCACCAGGTGGTTGGCTGCTGATGTGAATCCTGAATATGTTAAACGAGCTCATTTTAATAAAGTTATGTCTATCCATCTCTCTCTGAGTAAATTAAATGTGTGAATTCATGGAAAGCACTCAGAACAGTGCTTACTAAAGGGAAACGTTCATCACTACCATTATTATTTTTTCATTTACCTACCTACATATATATGTGCCCAGCGATGGAGAAATGCTCATCTATAATAAGATGGTACTGCTAATTGGTAGAATTTAAAGTGATTCTGTTTTTAACTTTTATTTGTATTTTTCTATAATCCTTGAATTGTTCATAATGGACACATATCATGAGTCATTAGTTTGGGTCTGGAGTTGGACTTCCTAGGTTTAAACCCCAACTTCACTGCTTAGTAACTGTGTGGCTTAGAGCAAATCATTTACCTTCTCTGAGTCTGTTTTTTCCTGCATAAAAGGGGGTAATAATGTTACCTACCTCATTGGGTGGTTATGAGCATTAATGAGATAATCTAGGTAAAGAGGTTGGGCATGGTGCCTGGCAGAGAGTAAGAGCGACATAAATGATGACTGCTGTTATTAGCTGTGGACATGGTGGTGGCTGTGTTGTTTCCTCCTAGGGCAGGCACCATGTTATTTTCACCCCAGTGTTCTTGGCATGTAGTCGTCACTCCAGAAATGGTAGTTTAGCCGGAGCCACCTCAGCCATTGGCCTGGGAACGTTCTCTGTCAAGGTAGAAAAAAGGGTGCAAAGTCTACAAGTACCTTCCTACTCAAGGTCAAGGATTGGGACCTACTGGAGATTGGGAAGCACAAATTATTTCTCCAAAACCCTTGAGGCTCTCCCAAGAGATGAGGTCCTTAGAAGGTCCAGCCACTTCATATGATGCCCACCCAGAAGCCAGGGCCATTGCTTTCCATGACCCTATGCTGTTCTTCATGAACTGTAGGCAAGGCGGCCCCATGGGAGTTTCTAATAACGCAAACCTCAAGTAACCAATGATGGAGAAACTGCAGCCACTGATCCTTCACTGTGAGTGTGTGGGGGTGCACTGGGGGTGGCATTGTTTGTTATATCTAAAACAATCCTTCAGAAGGAAAAAGTCCTTCCTATATTTTCTAAATGCTCTACAGCAAACATGTTTTTGTTTTAAAACATGAAATAAAATAAGAAATAAGAACAAAAGAAAAAAATTTTTGCAACCATGGTCCCAGGAATTCAGTGTAGGCATAGTAAGCCACATTTCTTGTACTTTCTCCTTCTACTCCCTATAGGATGTAGAGTTTTGTTAAGTGAAAAACGGAGCACAGATTGTGCCTGCAAACTTATTCCTATTGTTTGAGACTCATATGCCTTAAGTCATCCACCTTCATATGCAGTACATTGGAATTATACTGGGTTTATTTTTTACTCCATTCATTGGACAAATATTTATTGAACACCTACTATGTGCCAAGCACCATTCTAGCTGTTCGTTTATTGCTAAGTCTGGCAACCCTGCATTGGGGACATTCAGGAGAGGAGAATGTGGAGATAGTGGAATGAATGAGTAGGAGGCACAACAGCTGTGTTGTGGCTCTAGTGACTACAAAAGTGACTGCATGTCAGCTACAGTAAATCTGACCCTGAATGTGACAGTGATGTGTGAGTATAATAGTGAAAGTGACTAATTGGGAAGTAACAAGGACAGCTGTGTACCCGGTAGAGGCCTGCTAACTATTGGCTTGACTATGTGGCAGTGAAAGTAGGTGAGTGACAATGACAGTGACAACAACTAAAAAGGTGACAGCTGAGCACACATTCCAAGTGCTATTTTGTACAGAACTGTTTGAAGTTTGTGGTCATTGACAGTGTTTGCATATCGGACAATGATAGTAAAAAATGATGGACCAGGTGACAGCAACAATGTGAGTGACAGTTCTGCCCTGCAGGTTGAATTTTTGATTAAAAACGGTGATGGAGTAGGAGTCAGTCTGACAATGACAGCTCTCAGAATGACTGAATATTGACACTGTAGATATAACAGCTGTAACCAGAGGGAACTCGGCATTGTACTGAGACAACTGAATTTGGGCAGCATGACTGGCAGTGACAGAAAAATTGGCTGCGCGTCAGTGACAGAGTGACAGTGTGAAGTTCAGTGGGCCAGCACTGATGTGACTTAATTAGTCTGACATTGTTGGATCTGACTTCATCTGTTTGGCTGTGTGAGGGTGGCAAGAGGAGACTCAATGTGAAACGCATAGTGTGCGACAAACCGTGTAGGACAGTGAGCAAAAGAATGTCTGTGAACACTTACCCCCAAATCCCTAAATACTGAAATTGGAGAAGGGAGAGGCGGGATCAAAATGCCTTTACTACATCACGATTGGTTGATTCGGGTATGTTAGCCTATCATGTCCGAGCAACGCCGAGCCTCTCCACCAATGAGAATACGTCTGGGGACGAGGCTCAGGTCACGTCTCTGCCTTGCACGTGAACAAGTTGTTTTGGAAAAACGGAAAGAAATCTTTGGTGTCTACTTTCTTTACAGATTTGAAATAAGATCCTAACTCCAGTGGTGCCCCAGCAAGGAGCAGTGTAACTCGATTAGAACTTTCCTAAGGGAGTGTGGGCAAGGGAGGGGGTGGCCAAGGGTCAGAGGTCAGAGACAAGGTCAGCAACCCAGCTTACTCCAGTGTCCTAGCATTGGTGGAGAGAGCGAGCGTGACGCAGGCCCCGCCCCCACGAGGCCCACCCCCAGCACGTGACTGAAGCGCAGGGCAGGCCGGATCTCCCCCTTGCGGCTTGTATCCTTTCCGCGCAGGCCTCAAGATGGCCGTCTTCTGGCGTCTGTGGCGCTGTTGAATGAAGAAATCTTTATTGTTCCCTTCGGGCAGGAGTGTTCGTGTCCTTTATGGCGCTGTCAATAAAGAACGGCAGTTTGAATCGGTGCTGAACAGGTAACCATAGAAACGGGGCTGGGACTCAGCGTGGAGACCCCTTTTGTAGCTGATGCCGGAGAGAGGCGCCCGATATGAGGGGCATGCAGAGACCCTTTAGCAGGGCGAATCTCGCCCGGCTCTGCCAAGTCCCAGCCTTCCCTCCCGCCCTGGGACGCGGACCCCCAGGGGCAGCCCACACCCCAGGCGCAGGCTCGGCTCTTGCTTCCCGCGGGGAAAGGCTGCGGGGTCCCAGCCGGGGCTCTCGCTCCCTCTGGGGCCTTCTCTTCGCCTGGGGCCTGCCCTCGCCCCGCACCGCCTCCTACCCTGCGCGATCGCTGGCGTCTCGCTGCTGATGCTCTTAATCTCACCCCCCTCCCCCGCCAAGTCCCTACACCAGGCGCAGGCAAACTGGCCTTGGGCCAAATCCGTCCTCCCACCCCCACCCACCCCCTCCTGTTTTTTGTCTTCCAGAAGCTAAGAATGGTTTTTACATTTGTTAATGGGGGGGGGGGGGAGAGAAGTATTTCATATGAATTTTGACAGTTACATGAAATCAAATTTTCAGAGTACATAAATGGAGTTTTATTGGAACGCAGCCATGTTCATTGTTTATGCTTTGTTTATGGCTGCTTTCCTGCTACAAGAGCAAAGTTGGGTAGTTGACACAGATGTCGCATGACTTTGATCACTTGGCTCACAAAGCCGAAAATATTTCTATCCGGCCCTTTACATAAAAAGACTGCCGACCCTTGCCGTAGACACAAGTAGACGGGGTCAGTGTTGTCCGGCGATTCCTCTGGCCACTTCTCATGAAATGGGAAACGCAAGTTATTTACAACTGTCCCATGCACTTAGAGCTCTTGGACAAAACACTGGTTTCCCTTACCTCTGCGGTCCTACTGATTTATTATTCAGAGTGGGAATTGTTATGATAAGCCAGGTGCTTTATTTATATTCATACCCAGCGTTTTTGTGCTAACAACACTTTATAAGCAAGTGTCCCTGTTTCTATTTAAGAGAAGGAAGCTTAGATTCTGAGTAGTTACGCTATTTAAGGGCGTACTACTTAGATTATAGGTATGCAAATTGAGCTCACCCCTGGAAGTCCCCTGCCTGATGACCCATGTCTTACCACTGCAGGTTTCTTCTTTCAAGGCCTTCTACCTGGGGCTATTATTGGTTCTTCCTTGGAATTGTATCCAAATCTTTGTGTGGTTTATGGAGATTTAATTACAGCCTCTACTGAAATTTCTACTTGGCTAAATCATCCAACTTCTGCCCACACCCCATTTTCTAATGTAGATGCCTTTCTTAGATGGCAGCAGTTCCCAAACCTAGCTATTCATCACTAGTTTAACAAATGGTTTTAGAACACCCCATGCTTGTATGCATGCATTCGCGAATTGTTCACCATTTGTTTGGCACCTACTTTGTACTAGAGATGACTCAAATCCCTGGAAATAGGGTGGTGAACAAGATCAACATAATCTTTGTCCTTTCACAGAATTTTGATTCTATAGGGGCTTGGATAGATGGTACACACGTAAATAAAGATAATTTCAAATACAGCTGTCATAGCATCATAATAATAAAATTAGTAAATGTATTGAGTCATTCCTCTGTGCCAGGGACTGCACGATGTGCTTGATTTACATGGATTATCATTTAATTCTCTCACCAACACTATGACATAGGTAGTATGAATATTCCCATTTTAAAGATGAGGACACCGAGACTCAGAGAGGAGCGATGTCAAGGTTACATAGCTAATGAATGCATAAGGCAGCTGGGACCTGAACCGAAACTGATCACACTCACCACCTGTATTATCCATCTATTTATCTTTTCTACCAACTGGGGAGGTCCTCAAAGGCAGGGACCACACCTTACCTGTTTTTGTGTCAGGGGCTAGCCAGTGCCCACAACCAGCATCTGGTAAATGTTAAATCAACAAATCCAGGCCATTTGTTGAGTAAATATTTGAGTGCCTGCTATGTACCAGGTACCACTGTGCTAGGCCAGGGTGAGCAAGATGGACCTAAAACCTAATTTCCAGGACAGTAAAGAAATAACAAAGTTATTCCAAATTGTGTCAACTACTGTAAGGAAAACAAAACAGTGCTAACCTGAGAGACTCATTTTACCAGGATGGCCCTGGAAGGCCTCTCTTGAGAAAGTAGTTTAAGCTGAAACTTGTTGAATGACGAGGAACTAGTCCACCAAGAAGGGAAAAGCGAGAGAAGTGGGGAGGCAGAACTTTTCAGTAGGTTCGAGACTGTGAGGTGGCAAGCACTCCGGGTGCTGGAGGACTGAAAGAAGTGAGTGAGTGTGCTATTGTTCATGGTCCTGTGCTCTGATCTCCGGCCCTGAACCCAGCTTTGCTGCTGATAGAGCTGCGTACTGCTGGGCCAGTTACACATTAGTTGTCTAATCAGTCAAGTATGGATAATGGTACCTCCTCAAAGGGTTATTGTGTGGATTAAATAAGAGAAAATAATAATAGGTTCTGAGTTTTCTTGTTGTTACACACGTTACTGAATTCTAATCAGGGAAAACTAGCCAAATTGGCCCCAAATGGAAACTTACTAAAAATGCTAAATAATAACAAAAATGTAGAAGTGTGTTACACACAAAATTGTGGGCATGTGTGTGTTTCTATCTTTTGGAAATAGGGGAACAGATCTTATTTTTCCTTAATGTTTCTGTTAAGAGATGAACTTTTTCCAACTGGGGTGTAATTTTTTTCAACCAGGATATAATTCTTTTTCCAGCCAAATTATACAACTGTCTATTCAGAGCATTTTTCATCATTTTAGTCTTTTAAGCTCAAAACCATTTGTGTTCCTCCATCATGTGCATGTGCATTTTCTTAAGGCATTCTAAGAAAATGAAAGGCTTTCTCTTCTAGTTGGTGATCATTTCAAAATTTGTTTACAAATGATTTGGGTTTGCCTCTGAAAGTTTTCAAAGTAATGTTGCATACTTTAAGCAGGGAATTGAATACTTTAAAGCACATATCAGACTTTTTGAGTAAGGGAAAATAATATGATGTTTGGGTTCATGAACATGAAAAATTACAGAGGCCGTAATAAATTGAGCAAGCTATATAAGATCAGCAATGTCAAGTTTTGCTTTAAACTGTATCCAGTAACCAGATGGCACATGTCATCAGAAGATGTAATCCAGCCCAGCAAACGGAGCGAGGAACCGGACAGAGTGGCATGTTAATGCAATGTTAAACAACAAGCCTTGAATTAAAGGGCTATTTTAGGTTTGGGTGGGACCTTCAAATTTAAAGTATTTCAGTTTTACTCTGTGATTTGGGTCTATTGGGTTCCAGTAAAGAGTAGGTGGTAACATTAGCTTTGAAGGATAATATAAAACTGCAGGAAGAGCCAGGACATACTGATTTGTTTTTCAGTCTATTTCAGTTCAAAGCATCATGGCAAACAGGCAGCACAGGAAAAAGAGCCACACTTTGGCGGTACTCAGCTGCTTTTGGAAATTGAGGAAGACTGAGTATAACCAAAATGTGGCTTATTTTCTTGGACTATCTGTCCGAAAAGATGCTTTGGGGGAGGCCCATTAGCTCAGTTGGTTAGAGCGCAGTGCTCATAACACCCAGTTGCCGGTTCAACCCCCACAAGGGCCACTGAGTTGCATTGAAAACGACTTGACTTGGAGCTGATGAGTCCTGGAAAAACACACATTTCCCCAATAACATTTAAAACAAACAAACAAAACAGTTGCTTTGAAATGAAATAAAAAAGATTGAAAAGCAAATTGGTATTCCCTGTTGCCTCATGCTGAGGATTCACATGACCCTTCTGGAGTTCTGCTGTACCAGCGCCCGGGTGGCAGGCAGTGACCTCTCATCCATCCTCTTTCAGCTCTTCAGGAGAGTGAGCTCTGATTTTTACCAGGACATTGACTTGGGCTATTTGGTTTTCTGTATCTCCAATAGTCTGCCTTCCAAAGTCATCATCTTGATAATGTGGAGAAAGCAAGCTATCACCACATAGAAGAAAAATTCAGTATTGAGGGCATTTTAACTCAGAGATGAGATTGTCACTTTTTTTAAAGTCATGCAGAGGGTGTGGTATTTCATTTGCAGAGAGCATGCAGTTTTGAGACTCCATCAGGCCTTGAGGGAGAGAAGGGTAAGGAAAGAAAGCTGGCTTACCTTACATTTCCCTGATGTTGTTATCCCCCAGACCCTGCTGTCAGATCTTCAAAATCCTGACACCAAGTATTTCATTTCCTTAGATGAAGTAAATGTGCTATAGCTGATCCACATAAGGCAGGGACTGATAATCTGGGGTGAACAGTGGAGTTGCAAGGGATCCACAAATCCTTTGAATTTGCCTGCAAATTGGTGTGAATTCATTTTTCTGGGAAGAGGGTCCATTCCTTTAATCAGATCTCAGAGGGGGTCCTTGACCCCTCAAAGGTTACAGAGCCAACAATGAAATGTCACATCGCTGAATCAAAGCAGTGATGAAAACCACCCTGAAACCAGGTACTTCCTACTGTTCTGTGGCCTTGACCTCTGAGTTTTAAAAATATCTTTTCAGACCTTGTTTCCTGCGTAAAGTGGTCAAGCACAGTTGAGTGTTCGTTTGTAATAGAGATATTTACCCAATGAGGTGCTTCAGAAATCCCTTCGAGACCCTTGTTCGTCCTTATTTCCCATGAGGCTGCTGAAATGGAGGCATATTGTCTTGGCAGCCATGTTAGCAGATACCATATTTGTTTCTTCTAACAGGTGAAAGGAAGAGAGGTAGAAGCCTAATACTTCGGCTCTAGACATCAGCTTCTTAAAGATGGTGTCAGTTCCTCAGAGTTAGGAGAGGAGGGTTAAGAGGGAAAGAGGAGGAAGAGAGGGATAGATTCAAGGAGGCAGAGACAGAGGAGTGAAGGAGGAGAGGGTGCTTCCCCAGCATTTGTCCATGAGTCCCTCTACCTCTGCGAAAGTAAAGAGCTTCTATTTTAAAGCCAAACTTATCTCAGAATTTCTCTAATGCTGGGACCTCTGAGAAAGTCAATTCATAGTTGTAATTTCTGGTTTTATTAGTACTCGGCGGGAAATAAGAGGAAGGAAATAGCTTTTAAATCTTTCTCTTAGGCTGTTTTATAAAAATGGTACTTCAATAGAAAACTTCTGTGGGTCAGAGCTTCTTTGGCCCATATAAGGTTTAACAATTAGTTGCTTATATTCAAACATCAGAGATTTTACAGCGGTATGACCTTTGGAGGTATTTGCATGAATGCCCTCTGCTACAGGCCCTAGAATCTGGCTCTGGGACAAATAATAGAGAATATTTTATGAAGGAAAGGGTCCAAGAAGGATGAGGGAGATTAGAAACAAATGATTACAAAGGTAAATAATAGCTTTTGAGGCTCCAAATATTGCTTACTTGAATTTTTTTAATATAAAAACAAAAGTGAACAGTATGTGATTCTGTGTCTGACTTTGAGAAGGTATTGCAAGGGTTACTGTAACCTGCTGATTTCCTCTGTTTCTCAGCTTTCAAGGTCTGCAGCCTGACTGTTGGGCTTTCCTTCTTGACTCCTTCAGCTCCGCATCCCCACTGGCTCTGAAAGATGCTGTCGGGCTCCGGCAGCAGTGAATTTGCCATTTTCTTCCACCTGGTACTTCTCTTTGATTCCTAGTTTCAGTGAATGATACCACAGGGTTGTCAAAGGCAGAAAAACCTGGGAGTCCTCCCATGATCTTTCCTTTCTCTGAACCTGCCACCCCCGTTAACACTCCTCACCCACAAAGAGCGCGCATTTATATAGGCTGTAAGCCTCTTGGGTGTCCCCTTTCTCTTTTGGTTAAAGCTACTATACTCTCTTGTCCTGGATTACTGCAGAAACCTTCTGTCGATACCTGGTCAGCTGGCTTCCAGCTTTGTTCCTCTTCAATCTGTTTTGTACACAGTTGCCAGTGATCTTTATAAAGCCCAGATATGAACATGTCACTCCCATGCGTAAAACTCCATGAAGACTGCCTGCCCTCAAGCTCTCTGGCTGCGCCGGTCTCAAGCCTCATCTCAGCACTCTGCCCGCTCCCCTCTCACCCTTCTACTTGAGCGCTAGTAAACGTTCAGTGGGTCGCAGAACTTCGTCCTTTCTGGGCCACACTCTGGGGCTTTGGGGCGGCTGGAGGTCCCTGGCCGAGTTATTAACCAGCAATGCTGTTATCCACACGAATCATTAGATTACTGAATATTTTAGTTCTCTATGTGGTTCCTTTGTCCTTACACTATACGCTACTTCAGATATATAGTCAAATACTGTCCCAAAGTCACTTGTAATTATTTTCTCTGTGTGGTTATGCCACCAACTTGATAAACTTGATAAACAGGTTCATTTGTTTTAAATTTTAAGAATTGCTTTTCAAAGTCTTTTTGTTTTTTTTTTAATGATGTAAACCATTTATATCATTCCAACATCAAAACTATATAACAAGGTACATTCAGAAAAGCTTTTATTTCATACCTGACCTGCCTTTTTTTTTTTTTTTCTTTTTAGTCTCGCTGCCAGAGCTTTGGGCTTTTGCCAACCTGTTAGGTAAGAAACAATATATCAGTATAGTTTAAATTTGTTTTCTCCTTTTATGAAATACAGGATATCTGCCCCAATGGCTATGGTATCAGTTGCAAAACAGTTTTTTCCAGTTTGTCATATGCCTGACTTTGCATATGTTTTATTGCTGCACAAAAGTTTTACATCTTTATATAGTCATATTTATCAGTCTTACAGTATATGCTTTAGATTTCGAATCGGAGAGGGAAGTTTGCCCTGCTTTCAGTTTAAGAGGAATTCATTGTTTTCTTCTACTACATACATGGTTTCACTTTTTTTTAAGAAATTTTATTGGGGAACAGTGTATTTTTCCAGGACACATCAGCTATAAGTCAAGTAGTTGTCTTCAATCTAGTTGTGAAGGGCACAGCTCCTTGGCCTATGTGGGAATCAAACCGTCAACCTCGGTGTTATGAACCTGCACTCTAACCACTTAGCTAACTGGCCGCTTCTGGTTTCACTTTAAGGAAACATCTAACTAAGATTTGGATCCATTTGGTATTTTTCTTGGCATTTATTGGGTTGTCGAGAAAGTCAATGACGCATTTTTGCAATGAAAAACAGAAAAAATACATCATGACTTTTCCCACAACCCAGTAGTTTGAAGGAGGACCCAGTTTTTTCCCCATTGGCTAGCCAGGTGTCCCAACACTAAAAGTTCTTACCTTTTCTCCACTGATTTTATTAAGATGCTGTCTTTCTTGGACACTAACCTCTTGTATGCATTTGGATTTCTTACTGGATTTTCTATTTTGGTCCATTGGTTTGTCAGTTCATATGCCATGACAAAAGCATCATAATTTAGGAGGCTTTATAATTTATTTTACTATTTGGAAGGGTCAATTTTTTCATACTGCCCTCTTTCAGCATTTCCTCGGCTGCTTTGGCTTGTTTATTCTGCCACGTGAACTTTATAATCAGTTTGTCTGATTTCAGGAGGAAACAACTTAGTATTTTTACTGAGATCATGTTAAATCTATAAGTTAGCTTAGGGAGAACTGACATCTTTATGATATCCAAGGTCACGGTCTATCTTTCCATTTGCTCAGGCTACTCTTATGATTTTTCAGGAGTGCTTTGTTTTTCCTTATATAAAATTTGTATGCTTCTTGTTCAGTTTGCTAGACTTTCATTCTTAACTTAAAAAAATAAACAATTTCTTTGAGAATCCCCCCAGAACTCAGAGAAGTTGCATATACCCAGAGTCCAGACTTTTTGCATATCATTCATTTCATTCTGAGATACACCCCCAACAGCCCATCTTGTTATATATTGTCCCCTTAAAATCCTTTCTGTTGTCTGTCTGCCTGTCTTTCCCATTCTCGCTACTTCACTCTGTGTCCTACATACAGTAGGCAGTCAATACACAGTCGTCGAATGGATAAATACAGCAGTAAGGGGACAATGAAAGTGGAAGGAAGAGTAAGAATCCTGTAAGACCTATAAGTGTACATTCTGCAGCGGTCAGTTCACTGGGTCACAGTATTTTATTTCCTCATTTTCCCTGTCCCAGAATTTTAAAAAATACCGTGTTGGTAATAATAGTTACCATTTATTGAGTGCCTACAAAGTGCCAGGCACTATACTGGGTGTTTTACATAATTATTTCTTGTAATCCTTACAGCAGCCAAGCAAGAGGTACTATCATCCCCATTTAAAAATTATTATGGAAATTTCAAATGTACAAAAGTGAGAATAGCATTATGAGCTCCTGTATACATGTTAACTCCATTTTACCCTTGAGAAAACAGGTTTCGAAAGGTTAAGTAACTCAAGGTTACAAAGCTCAAGTCAGCTTTAGAACCAGACTCTTTTTTTAGCTCCTTATTAAGACTGTTTTTCAAATTTTAAACTCCAGCTGGCTAGGGAAAAGCCCAGGGAAGGAAGACAGTCTTCTAAACTCAAACTGGTCGTATTTTATTAGTCTTCTCTTCTCATTCATATCCCAGATACTGTTGCACTTCTACCATTTGCAAACAGTAAGCACCCCATCATTAATTACTCCTTCTCTTATGTGCTCTGCTCACACTTTGCTTTTTTTTTTTTTTGTCCAGTTTTATTAGTGCAAGCTGGTATTAGTTGATTTTTAAAGGCCTGCCGCTCTTTGGCCCAGCTCCTACATAGCATGATGTCAGGAACCTGGTAGGAGCCTACACGTTTAAATAACAGTGAGACGTCCTGCTCATGTAGCCCATAGATTGGTGTGGTTTATAACTTCTGAATGTGGCACTCATTAAATTTGGCCACCCTAGACCCCAGCTGCTCAGAGCTGGCACTCTGCTGTCAGCTGCCCTCACTTCCAGTCAGATTCACACCAGAGGGAGACTTTCTGAGGTCAGAGTCCAAGACAGCAGACTAATGGGCCCCTAGAGTTCTGAATTTTTTACCCTGGGCAGCTCAATGTTGAGGGCGAAATTATCCATGTCTTCTTTGAACACTTTTGAGCAAGTACTATAGACTCCTACAGGCTCTTTCCCAAAGTTAAAGACAATACAGAAGTTATGCCATTTTGCAATTTTTTTGTTAGCTTCTTAAATTAACCCTCTTTTCATGCTCCCTGGTGAGGGATGAGAGAAAGGTAAGAAATGAAAATAATGCCCATTTCTTCAAAAACCAAAAACCCCTTTTAGCACTAGGAGGAGAAGAGACTGGAGTTCATCTGTGAAATGTCCACAGAGCTGGACTGAAGGCTGGGTGACCTGAGCAGTGTCATAAGGATAGCATTGTGGGAAGCTGAGGGCTCAGCCTCTTCAGTGCTTCTGCTGTGTAGCTACGAAGGTATAAGAAAAGAAGGATTTTACACTGAAAATGGTGCTCTCTTCTTCCCATCTGTGTCATACACTCTTCGAGAGCAGGGTTTATGCTGAATTTCTCTCTGTGCAGCGTCAAGCCTCAGTTCAGGGCGTTTGGCTGGACACACTGTCCAGGGATGAGGCTGGGAAGTGGGGCCTTGGAGTCACGCTGGAGCTGCCAGGGAGCCACATACCCCAGCGGCACTAGAGCCAGCTGTGTGACCTGGGTGGGACACGTCAGGGTGGGGGGTGGGGGCTTGAGGAATGTGTGTGTGTGGTGTCTCATATATCCCAGAATAAGTTGATTCTAACTAATGTCATCTGCTGTCACTTAAAAATTGCTTTATTTACTGTGTATCTTTGCAGTGTCTCTGAACAGAGAAATTACCATAAAAATAGGAAAAAGACTCTAGGATCAAGAGCTGCACTGCTTTGTAAATTCTCAGGCTCGGGTGAGGTACAGTGGTAAAGGTCCAAGCTCTGGAGCCGGACAGCGTGGGTTCATTTGCTGACTACCTACCACTCACACTGGCTTTGTGATTTGGGGGGAGTCATTTAATCTCTCTAGGTCTCCACTTTTCCAGTTGAAAGTGGAGTTAATAATAGTAACTGCCTCACAGGTTTTGCAAAAATTATATAAGGCCGCCCATGCAAAGTGCTTGGTCAGTGCCTGGGATATAATAAATCTTAGTAAATGTTAGCTGCATATTGTTAGGCCACTACCTTAACCCTTGCCAACTGTGTCTGCCTTTTTCCCTTTTCCCAAATGTCTTCCTCATTGCTTTCCACTTAGAATATATAGTTCAGACATAGGTGACAGTAAGAGTCTCATTTCTGTCACCAGTGAACTAGAAGATCTTAAAACACTTTACTTCTTATCACTTCAGTTTTGTCATCTGCAAAATGTGGGAAATGGACTATGTGGTTTCAGAAGTTCTTTGTATCTTCTTCTAATTTTCTGTCAGTTTAAGGCTTTGTATGAAATCTCTAATTACAGCCCATTTATCTGTGAGAGGCCTGACCCTCCCCCATTCTCTCTCCCTTTTCTAGCTGACTCCCATCTCAGCCATATGAAACTAGTATAATGTGGCTGTCTAAAAATTCTTTTCTTATTTAAAAAAATTGTAACATTTGACATATATAGAAGATGCATATGTAACATGTAAAATGATGAGGCAGGGTGATTTTTTTTTTTAATTTAAGAATTTATTGGGGAATTGGGGAAGGGGGACAGTGTTGGGGAACTGGGGAAGGGGAACAGCCAAGTTGTTGTCCTTCAGTCTTAGTTGTGGAGGGCGAAGCTAGCTCAGCTCCAAGTCCAATCGCCATCTGGCTGCCTGTTGGTAGCTCGCGACAGCTCAGCTCAAGGTGCTGTGTTCAATCTTAGTTGCGGGTGGGCGTAGCCCACCATCCCATGTGGGAGTCAACCAACAACCTTGTTGTTAGGAGCACGTGCTTTCACCAGCTGAACCACCCTGCCACCTGATGACAGTTCAGCTCGGGCGCAGCTCACTGGCCCACGTGGGAATCAAACCAGCGACCCTGTTGCTCAGAGCTCGCACTCTTAACCAACTGAGCCACTCGGCTGACTCCCAGAGTGATTTTTAAAAAGTATATCTGTGGGCGCAGCCAGTTAGCTCAGTTGGTTAGAGCACAGTGCTCATAATACCAAGGTTGCCGATTTGATCCCCACATGGACCACTGAGGTGCTCCCTCCACAGCTAGATTGAAACAACTACTTGACGTGGTGCAGATGGGTCCTGGAAAAGCACACTGTTCCCCAATAAAATAAAATAAAAAAAAAAAGAAGGCGCATCTGTGAACTGACCACCCAACCTAAGAACTAGAACAACAAATATTTTGGCAAATGTATTTTTATGCTTCTGTTTAACATTTGATGCATGTTTAAAATATTATAGGAAATGTCCTTTATGTATATTGTTGACTCATTTAAATGTAGTGGCTTATTATTACTTATAACTACCCCATGAGATAAAGACGAATATTACCCCCATTTTACATATGAGAAAACTGAGGCTTAGAGAGTTAAGAAACCTGCCTGAAGTCCTACAGCTAGTAAGAAGGGCACAGCTGCAGTTCACTTCCTGGGCCCTCTGTTTCCAGAGCCTGTGCTCCAAACCTTTACTGTAAGCCCATAGCCTCTGGAGTCCCAAGGCCTGCTTTGGTATTCTTTAGTTGTCTGAGCTCTTTGATTTTTACATTAGACTAGTATCTTTGAAGTTGAAATTTGGTATCGTGTTACTGTGTGGTCCAGATTTATTCCCTGCTGAAGAAAAGTGTATTCTTGTAATCAAATGGGTGAAAACTCAGAGCTCATCCATATGTTCAGGTCAGAGCAAAATGTCTGTCAGGGCTAGAGACAAGGTTGGATGTGAAAGCATTGGAAGCGATGATTGCTTGTTGCAACTCTTGACTGCAGGATATATGCATGAGTCGTGTTAGGTGTAGTGCAGTCACTGTCCCTCGTCACTCATTAGATGAATATGTTGCTTAGGAGATCATGCAGTTTGGCCTGTCAAGAGTCATCTTGGATGAACTACTGGATCAGAACGGCATGGCCCAGAAAGGCAGATAAGTCTCTCAAAGCCTCCTTCCATTTTAATAGCCTTGAAAAATCGCTTGTTTCTATGAATTAGAAGATAAGAGGACACAAGCAGTTTGTGGTGCCAAGCATTTTGATGTTTTGCCTCATTGTGTTTTATAGAATGCTTCAAAAGAAGAGTTTCATTAGAAATTGAGAGAAGCTGAAAAAAGAAATTAGTTGAATGGAATGATTATTAAGGCTTTTCAAGAATCCGATGCCAGCTGCCAGTTTTAAGATGTGGCAACCCAGCTAATGATTGATCCTTAATCTGCTGTCTCTACCTCCTTGAGAAACTGGTGGTGAGGTGATGTGGTGATGATGACGATGACAATGACGACACTGACGGCAGCCAGCAGCTAATTCATTTATTGAGCATTTAGTATGTCCCTAGCATATAGTGTTGGTGCTTTAGGAATGTTAACTCATTTAATCTTCTAACCCGGTGAGAGAGGAATAATTATTACTCATGTTTTGTAAATGAGGAAACTGTGCCCCACGCAGGTTAGGTAGTTTTCCCAAGATCACACAGCTCGAACATTCAAGCTTCATACCCAGGTGGTCTGGCTCCAGCTCCAACCTTTAACCTCTAAGCTACACTGCTGCTCGTGACAGCCATGGGACCGAACCCCAGACAGGGTGCAAATGGAGAACACTGCGTGTAATTTAAAGAGCATGTGCACGCTTCCTCCTCTCCCCAGTCAATCCATGGATGGGGTTAAAACCCCACCCCTAGGCTTATGTAAACGCCTTGCTGGGAGAGAGTGTATCTTATTAACTTTGCTTGGTACCTAGTAAAAGCAAAATAAATGTTAATGAGTGTATAGTATGTTGGAAATGACATTGGCTTTGTAGCCAGACAGACCTACCTGGGTTTCTATTTTTAAGTTTCCTGGCTGTAAAAATAATGTACGTTTACCATAGAAAATTTTGAAAGGTGTGAAGAAGAAAATAAGTTCCTCACAATGACACCACCTCGGGATAACCACTGTTAGCATTTTGAAATAGTTTGTCTTTTTTAATGCAAATGTGTATATGCATGCACAATATATTTTTAAACCAAATTGGAATTATAGATATAATTACATGCTGGTTTTTTTTCTGTTAGTATATTGAAAGCATCTTCTCACATTATGAAAAACCTTCAAGAGCCTAATTTTAAAATTTTAGATATAATTCATATACCACAAACAACCCATACCCATTAGCATTCACCCCCAAATCTCCCCTCCTCCCAGCATCTGACAACCGCTAATCCACTTTCTGGTTCTGTGGACTTGCCTATTCCGGACACGTCATATAAATGGACTCATACACTATGTGGTCTTTTGTGTCTGGCTTTTTTCACTTAACATAGTGTTTTCAAGGCTCACTCATGTTGTAGCACATATCACTGCTCCATTCCTTTTTGTTGCTGAATAATATTCCATTGTATAGGATATACATTTTGTTTGTCCATTGATCTGTTGATGGACATTTGGGTTGCTTCCACTTTTTTGGCTAAGTAACAGCCAAATCAACATTCATGTGCAAGTTTTTGTGTAGACATATGTTTTCAGTTCTCTTGGGTGTATACGTGGGAGTGGAATTGCTGGGTCATATGGTAGCTCTGTGTTTAACTTTTTGAGGAACTGACAAACTGTTTTCCACAGCAGCCACACCATTTTATTTCCCCACCAGCAGTGGATGAGGGTTCCAGTTTCCTCACATCCTCAGCAACATTTGTATTTTCTGTGTTTGTTTGTTTTATTATAGCATCCTGGTGGGTGTGGAGTGGTATCTCATTGTGGTTTTGATGTGCATTTCCCTAATCACTACTGATTTTTGAGCCTCTTTTCCTGAGTTTACCGGCCATTTTGTTTACTTTCTTTGGAGAGACGTTTATTCATATCCTTTGCCCGCTTTTAAGTTGGCTTACTTGTCTTTTTATTGTTGAGTTGTAAGAGTTCTGGATACTATATTCTGGTAGACTATATTTATATATTCTGGATACTAGACTCTTATCAGATATATGATTTGAGAATATTTGCTCCCGTTCTGTGGGCTGTCCTTTTACTTTCATGATAGTGTCCTTTGATACACAGAAGTTTTAAAATTTGATGAAGTCCCAATTTATTTATTGGGGGGGGGTTACTTGTGCTATAGGTATCCTAGAGAGTAATGTTCCATACTATGACTGTATACCATATTTACTTTAAAATCTCGTACATCTAAGTTTCCAGTTTTTAATCATTAATGTTATTTCTCTGAATACAGTGTACATAAATATTTCATTGTATCTCTAGTTATTTCAGTATTGATTCCTAGAAGTGGGTCTAAAGGCACAAATATTTAAATTTTTTTCTTCTATCCTGGGCTTCTAATTTTTTAATTTATCCTTCATCCTGACCTCATTAAAATATTCATTAATATATATTTTAAATACCTTAAATAGCCACTTACAATTTTTGTTTTGTTTTTGTTAAGTCACAAATCTGCTTAGAGTTCTACTAATGATAGTAGATTGGGAAATTTTCAATCATGTATTCCCTGAGACACTTTTGGGCAGTTTAATGGCTTAAGGATAATTATTTTCTCATTGAGAGAGCTATCAGTGGTTGATATTTAATCAACATTCAAAGAAAAACAAACAGTAAATGTGCTGTATTTACCGAGTATAAGTGGTTGCCAGCCTGTGAGATAATAGGAAGCACCCCTCCATGGAGGGTATATTGTGTATACTTGGGAGTTTCGTATTTTAGTTCAAGTACTGGGCTCTGGGTGAGGCCCTGCCATTACCTGGATACATGACTTGGAAGGTCACTTAAATTTCTATCAGTTTCTTCATCTGTAAAATGATAGGGCTGAATTACAGCCTCTAAGGATACTTCTAGTTGCAGACTTCTCTGATTTTTATTATCCTTCTGGTCAAGAATCATTTCATGTATGTTTGGTATTGAGTAATTTTTCAAGTTTTAATCAGTGATGTGTGACAGAGTGGTGTGAAGGCCGGCAGAGTAACAGGCGAAAGAAGGGCGTGGGAGGAAGGAGCAGGTGAGGGCTCAGCGGGAGAGGGGCTGAGGCCTGAGTCTGGTGTAGCCAGTGGAAGGCAGGTCCCAGGTGGGAGTTACAGTAGAAGGCGGCTAAGTTGGCCGTGAGTTCACTGGGCTTAGGCTCCTGGAAGGAGGAGGGGCTCTGATCTGCACTAGATGGATGTTTGGAGCCCTGACAGGAAAGCCTGTTGGGGGAGGCGGGGAGCAACAGGAGGGCACTCCTTACATTCTTAAGAGAGACTGAAAAATTAGGACCTGGTCAGTGCTGTTAGGTTCCTGCACAAGGTTACTTCAAGGACAGAGCTGAGTCCAACTATATCAAAAGAGATACTGGAGCCACAGAAGAGTCTAGGAACTCGGTGATGGAGATGACAAGACAATGGCAGCTGGCACTGCCTGTGCAGTGTACATTGACCTCAGACGCCACCTGCCCAGTCTGGGGGCCAGGAATTGACTTCCATGGCAGTGACAGATGCACAGGCTTCCAGTGAATGTAGCATACAGTCTCTTCTGTAATTCCTAAAAGGCTTTCTGATGATACTTGACCTTGCTACTTAAATTTTTTTTATAGATAACTGCAAAGAGTAGGCATATTTCACTAGTCAATGAACTAATAAGCTGACTTCTGATTTCTGTTTTCTTCTCTTAAGAGTTTAGACAGTGATGTCTAACCTCCCCAAATCCAATTAACTGTGAGACTTGTATAAGATAGGGTTTTTGTTTCTGCAAGGTTGACAACGAAACCAGACCTTAAGTTCAAGCCATGGAGGGAAGTCTTGGATGCCAAGCCAGTCAGCTGGTCTGTTCCAACAGCACTCTTTCCCAGATACACATCCCCATCCATCTTTCAGCAGAGACCAGCGGCAGAAACAAGGTACCTCCTGTGAGGCCACCCAGCAGCACGTCTCTGTGAGAGGGGTTGAGGAATGATAGCAGTGAGCCGGGAAATGCTGTGAAGACTAAGGTAGTAATTAAAAGCAGGGAACCAGGCAGATATGCATTTGAGGCCTGCTGAAAGTTATTAGCTGTGTATCTTGGGCGAGTTGCATAACCTTGGACATTCGTTTCCATGTCTGTCAATTGGGGATAATAATGATATCTACCTCATAGAGATGGTAGGGAAATTAAATGGGAAGTGTATGGACAATGCTTACACCATGCTGGGTCTTATTACCATCATAGAGCACTTGATGACCTTGCCAAAGGCGTTCAAGAGATTCAAGGATACGAAAAAGAGCACAGACCAGTGAATTGGGCAAAAAAGTTTTAATCACCTCCTGTTCACTCCACTGATAAGGGAGGGAATCCCACCCTAGGGTTGTGGCTGAACACAACACAGGACACTGGACAGATGAGACTGACAGCAGTTTATTAGTCACATATACACCCAGCCCCAGAGAAGGACACAGCTTGCCACGCCAGACCCCATGTGGCTGCACTCGGGCTTTGGGAGGCAGGCTTTGTAGTATTAGAGGATGGGGTATCCCCTGGTTCCTTCCAGAGGATGTGATAGTCTTATTTGAATAATTGAGGAACTTGGGGGGACTGAATCCCACTACTCAGGGATAAGCAGGAACTATCCCTGGTCCCTTTGGTAAGGAAGATTGTTTGGCCAGGGGACCTTGTCCATGGAAGCAGAGTGGGTAGTGGAATTATGGTTAAACCCGTTGAGACTCTGCTGATTTTACTAGATGCCAACGCAGCACATAATATTGAGCCTTAATTTTAGACTTTGTGCTAGGAAGGAAAACCCAGGCCTTGGAACGCTATGTAATCCGGTTTCCAGGGGATCTGGGTAGGAGGAAGTAGAGTTGTCTGATTCTGTGAAGGAAGACCGATGGCATGGTGGCTTGAAAGGACCCTTCACAGTAAATCACATACAGTGTCATGAGCTAAGATGTCTTCACTATATCCAGTTCAGCATGCATTTATTCATTGGCTGCACCATCCTCGGCCCTTCCAAGGCTTAACTAGGTTCAGTTGACCCTTGCCTGTAGGTTAGGAGTAGAGGTCAGTCTACTGGGAAGCCGGCAAGTCCTGGGAAGACCGGGTTGCTGAAGTGCATTTTAAAGGAGTTTGGGTGGGCGCCAGGCCATAGAGCTATTCACCTAAAGCCTGGTCATTGGAATCTTCCACATTTTGTAGGTTTTTATTCCCAGAGCTGTTTAGAGTTTGTTTTTCTGGCTGGAGCAAAGGGCAGGTGCAAAAGGAAAGGATTTGAGGATGACTTGTGACTTTTGAGAGGAGAAGCATTGCTTAAAACATATGAT